CTGTACGTGCAGGGGCGCTGCTCCCATGGGTGGCTGCGGGGGCAGGCAGGGTGGGAGGAGCGGCTGCGGGGTGACGGTCCTGCAGCGCTGACACACGGCTGTGGTCACCCTCGGTGCTCTCTGGAAGCAAGTGATCGTGTAAGAATCAAGTGGAGAGCTGGGAAATCAGACTGAGTATTATCTCTGTGGAGATGTACGTATTTGGGATGAAGGAATGGTAAAGTATGAAGGCAACAGAGGGAAAACTTTTTCTGTTAATCAAGGATGCACTCTTTAAAATTAAAAAACTCAACTAACAAACCCACATTTTTCCCTTGAATAAGGAGTGCTTCCTATTGGAGTAGGTTTTAAAATCTCACTTGTCACTCTAGCTCTTCTAGTACATTAGCTGATTAATTGAGTTGTGTAATTACTGAATAACTTATTTTAAAAATACCATGTGATCTCACTGGGAAAATATTTCTCTGTTGAAAGGAAGGTGAGTTTTAATTAAACCTCTTTTAATAAAATATTTTTTAAAATTTAACAATGCCAGTACTTTGCTACTTAAATATTTCTTGAAGCAATAAGGTAGAAAACTTGAAAATAAAAATAGAAGAAAATGCATCAGGGAGTTCAAATGAGATCTGGAACTGTAAAGTTCATGTTGATAACTTCATGGCTATTTTAAACAAGATGCTAAAAAAATTACACTTAATTAGGCACAGTGAGGTATTTGGAGCAGTACTAGTGAATGTTCTGAAAGTTACTGTCTCAAAAACACTGACCAAGGGGAGCTGTAGAAGGTAAAAAAATAATGCTTCCATGCTATTAATATGTTTCTGTTTGTGATTAAGAGACACAGATTTATTCAGATTCTATATTATGATTAAAATGATAGAGATCCTACCTACCTGTCTGAAGAAATAAGGCAGAGGGTTCATCTCTCGTGAAAAATAAGTAATGGGAATGAGTAGGGGATGGAGGAGAGGAAGGAAAACATCAACAAAAGAACCAGGGGAAGCCAGGAGCAGAAGCATTTCGAGCTTCTTACAGGAGCCAGTCACACAAATATGTCACTTTTGACAAGATGAGAAACGGGCACAGCCTCTGCAATTGGACATCTGAGACAGCCTGGCAGTGAAACCCTGGGGGCAGTCAAGGTGGCTGCTTGTTTATAACCAGATACTGACAGGTTTTTCTGGAAGAAACCATCCCTGAGGGAAATCTTGCTGTGAACTTGGCTAATTCAGCTACAGTTAGAGGCTGAGGAGTTTTTAATTTAAAAAAGAAAGATGTTCTTTCTGGGTCCTTTGGGGGATGCTGCAAGAGGCTCCGTGGGTTGAATGAGGGCCTGTGCCAGAAGAAGCAGCAGGATCTCTTGGTGGGAAGATTTCTCAATATATGTAGTAAGGAAGAGATCTTGTAGCACATCTTTATGTCCTGAGCTTTGCTAAAAGTTCTGCTGTAGGTGCACTGGAAGTCACACACATCAAATAAGGGAAGGGCAGCTCTCTGTGGCAGTTTGTAAGGGACAGGCTGGGCGTAGTCTGTGAGGGAGCATATGCCACGGTGAGTAACACCACACCTAAGGGTTGTGGAAAGATTTTCAGCTGACCAGTTCCTGCTTCTGTCCTGTCCAGCAGGTTGTTCTTTTCCTGTCATTCTCAAACATGCACACCAGGACAAACATAGACTATAGAAAGCATGGTTTGTTGTATGTGGATAAATTCTGTGTAATTAGATTATTCAATTGACTCTTGGATCTGGTAATGTATATTACAAGGTTTCTGAAATTGTGGCAATCACTACTAACCTGCGAAAAAATCAGCTTTACAAAACTGAACTGACAGGGTAATCTATCACAGTTGTTTATTCTCACTTCGTGCAGAAAACTCTTTGTCCTGAGTTGCCACATAACTAGTGATCCAAGTTAAGCTCATAATCATGTTCTTATCATTACATGCCTCTCAGCAGCCGCCTTCTCACACTGGAAAGCTGAGTCTGCTAGAAATAGCTAAGCTGTTTGCTGCCATATCCATCATACACTTATGAATCTCTCTACAGTTGTTCATTTTAAGTAATGGCAGTAATTTTATTATCTGTGTTTGCTGTTAGGGCTGACAGAAAAGCAGCAGAACAGCATCAGCCTTTATTTGCTTGTGTGAAGAAGAAATGTGGTTTTAAAGCAGGCTTGTTAAAGTGTGCAGTGTTACACATTCACTTGCACAAGGAGAGGACACAAATACTGTGTGAGGGAGCTATGTAAATGTGTTTATCCACTTGAAACAGTTGGATACCTTTTCAGATGATGGACCTAAGTGGAACAGGGGAATAGGGAGCATCAATAGGAACATGCTTGCTTACAGAAACCTGCTTAGAAGAGGAGCCAGGGAACTTAGCTGCATAGGAAAAGCCTTCCCTTCCTCATATCCATTCCCTGTGTGTCTGCCTTCATCTTAAATCCATACAGTGCTGGAGTGGCCACATGTGTGGGCCTATTCTTTCTTCCTAGTGACAACACATTTATTGGTATGACAACTTCTGCCCAACCCAATACTCTGAGAAAGTCTCTGCCTAAAACATTTTGCGTGGGTTCAGCCCAAGAACTAGAACTTACAGAAGTTTGCAATTAAGAAGCCCCTTTCTCAACTGTCTCCACAAACAGAAAACACCCTCTTTGAAATAGGATCTGTGGGCCCCGTGACTCTGGTTACTCAGCATTGTTGGATGATAACATACTGCAGCTAGGAAACAGAAGTGCTTCAGACTTCCAGAACTGGTCCAGTCAGGGGTCTCTCTTTTACCATTTAAGGCACTTGTTTGCATTTCTGTGGGTGTCTCTTCTCCCCTCCTTCCCCCCCACCCAAATTCAGAACAAACACAGAATCTCTTTAAGTAATGAAGTATGATTTATAGCATACTGTGTTGTCTATGACAAGCAACTGCATGGTCTAATTTAATAAATGCTATGCTGTAATTACACGCTTTCCTTTTCCTATTAACTCTTCCCTTTTGTGAGTCTGGCACTGAATGAAGCTGAGGAAGCAGAGTGCCTTGGGGAAGGGAAGTAATGATGACAACTTTGGAATGTTTTTAAATTGACTCCCACGAGCTCTCATGTTTTTGATTGTTGTTGTAAGATTCCTTCTCCATACAAGGTTTATACATCAGCAGAAAAGGCATTAAGCACTTATTGCTCAACACGAAGTAAACAGGGTTTTGGGGGGGGAATTTTGGTATTTTTCTTCCCTCTGTAAAAAGAGGAATTAAAGACCCAAGAAAACCCCCCATAAACCACACTTAGACATTCCCAGGAGTTTTGACACATACACAGATGGTAGCTATAGTACAGCAGGGATGAAAAATAAAAATAAAATTCCGTACAAATTGTTTGATTGGGATAATAATTTTGTAAGGTATTCCTTCTCATGAATACAGTGGGGTATCTTCTTTTAAGGCATGTATAAAGTGTTGAGATCCACACCAGTTAGTTCCAACTACAAGGTGATTTTTTCTATTCTCTTGAGTTTTTGTGTTTGTGTAGGCTGACCACCATCATTAGCAGTTCTCATCTCTGAGGCAGGCCCATAATGCCTTGAATGAACATCAGTAACACAAGTACAGGCAGCACTGTGGGAAGGGAAGGAGAAGCTGTGAATGCAAACCCTGACTAATTGCTCATGTAAGTGGACAGCAGAAATGTGACTCAGGACTCTTCAAACCCTCCAATTTGTGAACTGTGGCTTCTCCTAGTTTTATCCTTGCAGGTGCCCTGGTATTCTGCTTTATACACTGTTAGATTGTGGCAGTTTGGCTACACTGCTGTCCCAAAATAAGTTTCCTGAATGTATATTTAATTTAGTTCTGGAATGAATACTGTACAACGTTTTGAAAAGGAAAAGAAAGACTTATGTTTCCAGTCACCTTTATTTTACTAGAAAAGTATAAATTACAATCATAAATACAGATAACACCAGTATAAAAATTATATCTATATATATTTATATATATAATTATATTTATATAAGTATATAATATAAACATAATTATATATAAAATTATATAAAAATATAATTATATATATAATATATATTTATCATATATATAATTACATTTATATAAATATATAAATTCTCATTTATAAATACTAAAAGTCAAAGCAACAGGTATCTCCAAATCCCATCACCAAGATGATTTGAATCTACACCACAGAAATCATTCTTCAACTGTTAATTAAAAATGATGTTCAAATGCAATAAATACTGCTACCTATTCAGTGCTTGCTGAAGTGAGTTACTGTTGGCTCAAAGCCTGCAAAGTATTTGTTCTAACACTTAGTTGAAACTATCAGAATCCCATCTGTATAACTCTAGGTGTAGTGTAACTGGATATATTTTCCAGACAAAGAGCAAGTACCTGCTTCAATAGTGTTTCTCACAAGTTGCCAGTGCAGTAGTTTCAGTTTGTTTACCTTTGTCTGCATCCAAAGATAAACAGACCAAGTTAATTTTATCCAAGAAGTGCAAAAATAATAGTAGCAGTTTTGTCGTATCTGAACTAACAGATTATTTCACCAGTTAATATTGATAAGAGGCAGATAAATACAGGGTTTGTTTCATAGAAACAGAAAAATATTCCTTTTAGTTAGGTAAAGGACATCTATTTTTCAAAAGTAGTGTTTTTTCCCCTCACAAGTACCGTAAATCTTCTAGCTCAATAAGGCCATGCTGATCAAGTTAAAAGTACCTCTAGTTCAGAATCCTGTTTGACAGGACAACAGAAGGAGCTTGGGAACAGTCTATGAAAAATGTCTCTGCAAAGAGACCTTGGCAATTTAGAGATGGCCAATCACCAGCCATAGGGAGTTGTACAAGGGAAAGTGCCGGGCTTGGCACCTGGCATGGGGCAGCCCTGGAGTACACACAGGCTGGGGAATGAGAGGCTGCACAGCGGAAAGGGGCCTGGGGGACCTGGTCAAGGCAAAGTTGAACATGAGCCAGCAGGGCCCTGGCAGCCAGGAAGGACATCCCTGTCCTGGGGACATCAGGGACAGCATCCCAGCCAGGCAAGGGAGGGGATTGTCCCGCTCTGCTCTGAGCTGGGGCGGCCTCACCTCGAGTGCTGGGGGCTTTGGGTGCCACAATCCAAAAAAGACATTGAGCTGTTAGAGAGGGTCCAAGGGATGGTGAAGGCTCCAGAAGGGAAGCTGTGTGAGGAGTGGCTGAGGTCACTTGGTCTGTTCAGCTGGAGAAAAGGAGACCGAGGGGAGACGCTTCAACAACCTTGCCAAAGGAAGCAGAGGGGCAGGTGCCAATCTCTTCACTCTCGTGAGCAGTGACAGGACTCAAAAATCCAGCAAGAAGCTCAGTCAGGGAAGGTTTTGGTTCAGTATCAGGGAAAAGATTTTCACCCAGAGGGTGTTTGGGCACTGGAACAGGCTCCCCAGGGCAGTGGTCACAGCAGCAGCCTGGCAGAGGTCAAGAAGTTGTCAGAGAGCACTCTCAGGTACAGGCTGTGACTTGTGGGTATGGTGCTGTGCTGGGCCAGGAGTTGGACTTGATGATCCTGATGGGTCCCTTCCAACTCAGCACATTCTATAATTCTATGATTGTAACAGAGCACCAGAATGTTCTAATGACACAGGGCTTCCTGATATCTGGATTTTTTGTCTGTACTGTCTAGTGGATTTTTTAATCCACGTAAAGTTTGGGCTTCAGAATTCCTGTTTCAGAGAGCCTAAAAGGGTCCACTCAATTACCCAATTTTGTTGTTGGGTGTTGGGGAAGATGAAACAGGAAAGCCTTATAAATATGATTGCCTGGCAAAAGAATATATTTGAGAATATAGAGACTATAAGCGAGATTGAAATGAAAGCAAGCTTTGAGATCCCTTAGTTACTGAACAATGGTGTGGCCACTGAAGGTAATGCCCTTTTGATGAAACAAGACCCTCTGCTTGCAGACAGGTCCAAGGGTCAGAGCAGACCCTGTCAGCTTGGCAGAAGGCGTCCAAAGAGTAGTTTTTAGGGTTTAAAATGTAGCCCAATATGGTAATGTAGTGATTCTTATAGGTTGTATGGAAATGCTATAGGATTTGTATATTGTACTAGATTGGTTAGTGAGAATCAGAATATTCAACATAGGAGATGATTTATTATATTGTAACGGGAGCTTCACTTGCTTACTTACTTTCTGTACTCTTACTCTTGCCTCTTAGCTCTTACCCCTTTTATGCTTTTACTCTCTCACCCTCTCATCCTCTCTACCCCTCTCTTCTCTCGGGCCTGCTCCGAGCTGCAGCTGGCAGCTCCCAGCAGGGCCCTGCACCCAGGCCCTTTGCAATAAACTGCAAGTTCCACAACCTGGCTTCAGAGATCTCTCGTCTCCATCTGTCCTGACCGTGCTACCCCCCGTCACTCCTACAGTTGGGGTTTTTTCTGCTTTGGCTCTGCCACTAGTGTCTGCGGTACTTTTTCCTTAGATACCATTAAGCAGCTCCTTTTCTCTCTCAGCTCTTGCTCTCTTTGCTTTCTTGCGTTTACACAGAACCACGGGAAGGACAATGGCGAGAGTGATGACTGCAACTGCTATCACTGCTAAGATGATAAAGACTTCTGTTCCATATTCTGTGGAGGAAAAAAAAATCCAAGATTGAGTTATCAGAACCCACAATGTCACAGTGCTACAAACTCTTAGCACTCATTCCGCTGAATGAAAAAATGCTTTCTATATGTTAGTCTCACAGAAGTGGAGTCACCACATGAGCGTGAACTGAACAGATTTTAACATGGATTTGTTGAACTGAAGTAATGTTTTATTCTACCTTGCTCACTCTAGGTTTTAATCCAGTTTAGTTAGTGCACTAAAGTACCATGCTAACACCACAAGGATAAGTAAAACCATTCCCCCTGCCTGTACATTATTTCTGTCCAAGTGAAAATCTATTCAAGGTTACAAGCTAGAAAAGACCAAGAGAAGATTTTTCTATTTAAATTTTAATGAAATTTTAATTTATCACTTTTGTGGTAAATTCTCTGGATAAGAAAGCTAATTTGAGTTCATTTGCCATTTTAGAAGAGTTTTTTTCTAGAGTGCAAATATTCTTACTCAGGGAGAAGAAAGATACAGTACAGTAATGTGATATTATTTAAGTAATATTGATGACTGTATATTGAAGAAAGTGTTATCCAAATGCCTGGCTGATTCACCTACACTTGCTAACTTATTTACCAGTAAAGAAGCCTATCTGCCAACCTCTGACCTCCTAACAGGAAAAAAGTTTTCTTCTCATCATCTCCTTTTGGCATAACTAAAGGTCAGTTCATTCTACAAGTAAATGGATACGTCGGTTTCCAACACTTTGATGTTTTAGAGCTAATCCTTCAAGCACTTCCTATGGCACCTGCTATTGGAAGGATCCAAGGAAAACAATTCGAAACAAAAATGAAGCTGAAGGCTAGTGGTGACATCTGGAACCTCAGACACCAGTCATCAACTGAGACATTTTAACCAAAACAGTTGGGCAAAACCCTAAAACCAGCTCCAACTAACTAAAGATGGTGGACTCTTACTTAAGAGGTCACTTACTTAAAGTGAGGTCTTGCCATGAATTTCCATGTTCCACCTGTGCATTCTAACTTACACAGTAAAGAGTTTATTTCATTGCAGGCACCAGAATTTAAAGATGTGGAATTTTTTGTTAGACTATTAAAAACTGAGTGACAAACCTAATCTGATACTTACCATCTAAGGTATTCCTTCCTACACTGGTGCAGAGCACCCTGCTTTCTTGGCCATTACGATTTTCTCTGCGAGAGGGAATGATTCCCTGGACATAGAAGCAATAGTTCTTTCCACTGTCAACGCTTACTTCAAAATTATGGCTTTTTGTTGTTACATCTTTCTGTAAAGGAAAAAAATATTCCAAGTGTCAACTCTGAAGGTAACACAGAGATGGTGTAACTATATAGAATGTAACAATTATTACAGAACAAAAACTAGAGTTAGACCGTACCTTTCCAGAACTTTGATCTTTCCAGTAATAGAGTTTGTATTCCAGGTCATGCTGGAAAATATCTTGAATACTCATAAAGCTTCCATTAGGAAATATATATGGTGTAAGCGGATCTTTGAACACGACATTCAGTTTGGAACCTTTTTGTGAATAATCCTTTATCTCTGGTTTTCCAATAACAGCTAAACAAAGATTTTTAGAATTTAAAAAATGACATCATTTATATACAACACGCTCTTTTTCCTTCCACCCTCCATTACCTTCCCTTCTCAAATCTATTACAAGCTTACCAAGCCAGTGAAGGCCTAGATTGTAAACAAGTATCCTCACTTAGTATGCAATATTAACTAAATGGTCTGCTCAGTGCAGTGAGAAACAAATGAGAAATAAACTAAAATCTTTCACCCTCCCCTACAATAGGGAAAGCTTTATGCCTGAATACCTTCTTTTCTGGTATCAGCAGGGTTACCATAAGAATCTATAGAAAAAAACATTTAAGCTCAATCTAAACCTTGTTTAAATCAACAGAAGTAATCTTGAAAATAAATTTATAGTAAGATTTAATTGACAATCCTACTTACTCTGGCTATAAGGTGTAAATTTTTCAGAGACTTCAAAAGGTGGCTCTTCAAAGTTATCCATCTCCGCAGGCTTTACAGACAGTATGTGTGCTGTATAGGTCTCCTTTACATTCCTGAGTGCATCAGTAACATCACACTCTGTTTCTGATGTCAGTATGCATTTTCTCCTCACGTCAGATGTCTGTCTGAAAAGAGCAAGAAGGAAATGTCAACACTTTTGAACCAGACATATATGTACTACATACTTAGATACATTAAAAAACATTTTCCCCCTCAAAGTGTATAGATTTCCCTCATCCAATAGAACAGCCTTGCAGGCTAAAAGGAGAAAAGCTCAAAAGTCACTATCCTGTACAGCTGTATTTCACAATTCAAAGCAGAATTCAGTAAATCAAGTATGATTGATATTAATTACAGAAATGTGCCATAGGACACATTTGGTTTTGCTTTTATGCAAATGCCACTAAGAACCAGACAGTAGCAGCAAATTTCAATGCAGAATTGCAATTTAAAAACACTGACAAAAAGTATGAACCATGCACTTCTCTTGATTTTTAAATGATAGAAAGGTCCATTTACTTGTGAAATAGCAATGAGACTATGAAAAATGTTAATTTCTCATTTTACTTCCTCACAAGAAGGAACAAAAAAACAGATTAGATATTAATCCTTCAATTCTTTTCCCTCTTTTTGCTGGTGAATTAAGGAAAGCAAAAATTGTGTGATCTCAACTGGAATCTCCCTGTTTGAATATTAACAAAGTGTTTTTTTCTCAAAGTAGATCAAGTTTCCTTGTTTAGAGTCAGCTGAACTCCCTTCTCACTTCATCAGATTTCTTTTGTCACAGATCAGTGAGGGACAGTGCCACAAGAAGTGCACTGAAAAGGGATAGAGGTTTGACCTTTTTGATGAAACAAATGTACTTTGTAAATATACGTGCACAAGAAAGCAAACATTTAATCCTACATCCTCCATAACAGCAACTTCAGTTAAAAGAGATGCCTCTGCTGCAGAACTACACCTGGTTCTATACTGAACCTCGGGCAAACAGATTTCAGGTTTTTGCAAGCAAAAAGTCTGGAAAGAAACTCCAGATTCAAAAATATCATAAAATGTGTTCTGCTAAGTGTGTGCTCTTAAGTCCATTAATCTAATCACGCCTAAAGAATGAAAAAGAGCATTAGCCATTACACTGGTATTTCACTTTTTAGTCATGAGAGAACACTCATTTATGTGCCACTTTCAGAGACAGTAGAGACTACAGTACCACTTTTTCATTACTATGTAGGAAGTTTGATGATGCATTTTCCCTTTGGGGCATGTTTAATAATGCTCTGTGTATTAAAATGGGAGCTAAAACCAGCACAGATTTATTACTTAACTTCATGGCAAGTTTTGTGCAGTTCTGAAAGAGGTATTAGCCACTTCACATAAGCTGGCTATGTTTATATCTACAATATTTTACAGCTTACATAAAACACAATATCAGAGGAAATCTTGACAGAGGGAAATGAACAAAGGTAATTTTTAGTATTACCCAGCAAGACAAAATTATTAATTACTGTGATTCACCAATTAGAATAAAATGCAGACTCATTTATTAGACACCTCCCAAGATTGAAGACACAGGTCCAGACATCTTGGAAGACATAAGTTCTGTCTAATATGTGGTATGTCATGTTGAGTATCAACTCCTTCAAAGTATCCTGGCTGGCTCTCTCGAGCAGCACCGAACCCCAGAACTGGAGCTGAACTGATCTAAAGCTCATTTCTCCATTTCCGAAGTGGGCAAAACCAGAAGTCTAAACCTGATATTTTTATAGTTGGACACTAAGAAGTATTAGGCAATTTTCCTAAATCCCAGTATTTGAGCACTTTCCCCGTTACATTCCCTTTCAGAAATATTCAAACATGCTCTCTTTTCATTTTCTTCAATTGCCATTAATGAACATATCATGGTGTTATCTACTTACCCATGTATTTCTACAGTATAGAAGTAGCCTGATGGTTTTGGTTGCCACTGTAGTATAGTTTTAAAATTGATTGAAGACCAAGTTATATTGACTGCTGTTGGTAGGTCCTCGTAGCCTTTAAATACAGAAGAGAGTGCCATCAGTCATATTATGTATAATTCCTGTTTCCCTGCAGTCATTGGTCAGTTGCCATTAATTGCAACTTGGAAACGTTTTCTTGGGGGAAAAGGTTCAGTCCTGCCCTTAGGAAAGGACTGCTCCTCTTACTAAAGGAATGTGTCCTGGTAGAAGTGAAGAATGAGAAGACAATTATTTTCTGTCTTGTAACTCTGAAACTGATGAGGTAATTTAGAGTTCCTTTTTGATCCAAGACCTTCACAGAAGGTACAAAAGCTTGAACATTCTCGTGAATAATTCCAAATGAGGCATAGTTCAAAATCATCCCTAGCTGAATCTGCAGAAAGCATTAGCTCCTGGATTCCCATTTCCATATTTAGGAAAGATAAAGTCTCTTTAAATATCAGTGGTTACCCTACACACCTACAGTATACGAGAGAGGCCACCCCGGGATGAGCTCGTGTCCCCCTCAAGCACATTTTTGGCCAGCCACAGCTGCTTCGGGGAAATGCCCAGGACGAAGTCGGATGGGAAAATCCCTCGCAACCTCGGAGCTGGGAACAACGGGAGGAATCTTGCGACTCCTCTACAGCAGCCCACCGCCGAAGCCGTCCCCGCTCCCATTAATGCCGCGGCCAGTGAGGAGCCCGCAGTGGCGCCCGGCCCCGGCCGCCGGAGCGCTGTGCAGGGAGGGCCCGCGTCCCTGTCCCCTGCCCGCCAGCGCGGGGCCGCTCTCCCCGGACTCCCTCAGGGACACCCCGTCCCGGGGCTCCGAGGGACCGATCGCCGGCGCCATCCCTCCCACATCATCCCGCCCCATCCCGTCCCGTCCCGCGGGCCGTCACTCACCGGCGGCCAGGGGCCAGAGCAGCGCGCCGAGCAGCAGTGCCCGTGGCGGGGCGGCGGCACGCGGCATCCTGGGCGCGCTGAGGGAGCTGCCGCTGACGGCCGCCGCCGCCGCATATATGGGGCAGCGCCGCGCAGAGGCGGGACCCAGGCCGCGCCCCGGGGCCGCGCAGCGGGGGCGAGGGGACGGAGCGCGGCGGAAGCGCTCGGGCATCCCCGATTGAGCAAACACAGCGCGGGATCTTCGAGGAAAGGGAGGGAGGGGCGCTGAGAGACGGACGTGTCCCGCGGGATGCAGCCCCGCCACCGCATCCCCCGGCGCAGGCCGAGCTGGACGTGAGGGCGCACCTGGACATGCCTGCGGTCCGTGTCCCTCTGCCTGGCTGGTGTCATCGGGCCCTTGTACCACCCCTCCCTTCTCCTCTTGGAATTCTGGTGAAACTGGACACCACTGGATAGCCAACTTCATCCTCTGCAAACATTTAGCTGGCTGTCGTGGGACACCCCAGCTCGGAAGTGGCTGCTCTGTGGGGCAGCTGGTCATGCAGAAGCGATGTTGGGTTAATTAACTTTGATCCCGTACATTCTGAAGGGCTAAATATGTCAGTCCTTCCCATGGCACACAGGACATTGGACACAACTGCTCAGCTAGACCACATCCTCCATCCCCTCACAGCGTGCCTAGCGGACCCTGTCAAGGCTCTTCGGTCACACCATACAGAAAGTAAGTTTCAGGTGTTCAGGGCTTAGTACCTCACTCTCCTATAAGCCAGGGGCTCTTAACCCTTTTCCTGTAAGGTCACATTGGAAGGGTATGCCATTTTCAGAGGAGCAGGGAATTTCTGACAGAAGGCGTTCCGGATCTCAGCCTTTGCTGAGGCTCGGGCTCCTGGGCCGTGCGTGGCGATCGCGGTGTCCCCCAGGGCCTTTGCCCGGGCGGGGGCTGTGCCTCTGTGTAATGCTCCAGCTCTAGAGGGAGCTGCGCTCGCAGGAGCTCAGGACTCTGCCGCAGGAAGGTGGGAAACAGACCGTGCAGTAGAACTGTGTCAGAATTCAGGGGGACATACGCATTTACAGTCTCAGACTGACTTATTTGCATTTTGATGCTGACTTGGTACCATGGACGTGGAACATGTAGGTAAGAGAAGAAGACTAATGGAGAAGCTGAATATTTCATTACCTTTAATTTTCATGATTGACACATACTTGTCTGCAAGCAATCAGTTCTCTCTCATAATGCAAAATAAATGCATATGGAACAAATGACAATATGAATTCAACCAGAGTCTGCATCAGAATCCATATTATTCTAAGGCACACCTAAACCCTTGACTTTTAAGTTATTGACATACCTTCATTAATTCCAGCCATACACCTTCTCATTTTCCTGCTTTGTTTTTCATCAAATTTCAGGACTGTCTTTATGTAGCTGTATGCTAACATTACCTCAGCCAAAAATACTTCCTGCTTTTAACTTGGTGTGGAATACAGATCTTGTGGGGTTTCTAGCTTTTCGGGATGGTGACCTTATAAGATCACAGCTGATTTTCAAAAGACTTTAGAAAGAAACAGTACTCACATGTTTAAAGAAAGAGATGCTTATATTAAATATTTAAATCACCTTTAGGCTTTAATTTCACTTAATTTCATGTAGTTCAGTCACAAAAGATGGGAAGTCGGTCAGTGGTGGTTTCCAGTTTTTATGCAGATAATCTCAGGATGCCCTTCTCCTGACTATTCCTTCTTATTCACATATCTTCTGTCAAGAGCTCCCACACTTGAGAGAGGTGAGGAACCATCCAGACCTTGTCCAGACAAACCAGTGTGACCACTGCTATCTTATTCCAGTTACCAGCAAGGTATTTAATATTCATTAACACTAGGCTCTTAGATGTTCTCCTCCTTGCTGCAGCATGAGAGAAGGAGGACACCAGTTTGCCAGAGCTGATCAGGTTGGCATGGCAAGGTTGTGATGGAAAAGGGAGAAGCACTGAGGTGAGGAGCTGCTGCTGCCACATCTGGTCTTCTTTCTCTTCTTTGGCCAAGAGCAGACTTGACCACAGAATGAGAACTGCTCAGCCCTGCCTGGCTCCAGGCACCAACCAGCGTGGGAGAGGAGAGGAACCTCACACAGCCTGACATGGGCTGAGGCCTCTGAAGTCTGCTCAGCAGCCAGTGACTTCACTGTGACATTCTGGTCACATTTCCTGTCCACTTTATGGGATTTCAACAGCTCATTTAACACAGAAAAATTGTGTCTTTTTTCAAACATTTGTTGTTACACGCAGGAGAGCCTTCTGCTGACGTAAAGCTCTGGCAATTTGTCTAGAAACTTAGTACTTGGCTCCTATAGTGGAATGCCAAAATGTAGGCATCGTCTCTACATGTCTCTAACCCATGTAGTCATCCTGTGCTCATTTAGAATCAGAGAAAAAACTCATTCCTAAGGTGAAGTACATATTTTCTAGTATAGGCAGCCAAAGCAAGTCAAATGAATCTATTTCAGTGCTGAAATAAATGGAGCATTTCTACTGATGGCGATGAAGATCTTGCTGGGACTGTTTAGAATATGTGGGAGACATGCAAGAGTGCAAGCCTGGCTGCACAATTTAGTTTAGATGACCTCTTCCACTCTGTGACATCTTCAGTCTGGTGAACTGGGTGGAATCATGGTTGTTACCCATTTGGAGGGTTTGCCAGAAGGCAAGCAGGTTCTACAGATTTTCTTTCCTTGATATGTTTGCTATGGAACCAATTGATTATGGGAAAAGTGAGGAGGCAAGCAAAACTAAATCTGTGAAACTCCATTGTTTTTTAAAGAGGTGCATGCATTTATTTTTACTGTATGACCTGCCAAGTCTCTAAACTGGTTTGCTTAGAGAGAGCTACAAATCTTTGCTTAGCAAAGCAATTGCCACATCATGTTTTCTGTACAGTCATATATAATTATTGAACTGGAATGCCTCAGGTGACATCAGTGACAGATTGGTTTCTTTACGCTGGAGGTTTTGCAAGACTGTAGGTAAAATTTTGTAATAGTTATTAAGGGTTTGTAATTCTGTACTGCTATAAATGTTCATCACTCCATGATGAACATCAATATCATCAATATCATCATATCTGATAGTGTCAAATGTATTTGTGTGAGCAGGATTTGAAATCACTGAGAAATTTTTCCACAATGAAATTGCTCCTGATATTTGTCTTAAATTGAAATCTTTGTTTAATTTGTCTTAGTGATCAACATGATTGGGTAAATAATGTAATTATACAATTAATTATATTTAATTAGAAACCCCAGAAGTTTAGGTATCAACCTGTAATTTTGGTACCTGCTCCCATAAATATCTTAGCATTTCTCTTGCAGACCTGCTTTATCAAATACTGTGTTATAAATGCATTCACAAACTAACAAATACCTCTGAGAAACAGTATTTGTAATTAAGAGGAATTGTAAAATGTTGTAATATTAGTTACTAAATTACCTTTTTGATGCACAGCAACTCAGTTACTATTGTCTCCCTTTGGTGAGTAAAGTCATTGAACCAGGGTAATGGAGTGAAGAATCAACTTTTTATACCTAAAATTAGCTGTGTTTATCCCTGAAATCTCCATACCAATGAAAGCCCTAGTATCAAGATTTCCTTGTGAATCCTTGATTTTCTATTATAAATTATTCTGTGATTCTGAAGTTACCTTGTGATTTTATAAAACAACATGTAGCTTAACAGAAAACAGTCAAGTTTCACTGGGATAGAGCTAGTTAAAATTTTAAATCCAGTTCTGACATTAATGGATCTTCTTTTCACTAGTTGGAAAAAAGTAATGAATAAACAAAGTTGATAGAAAATTTAAATTAGCAGAAGATATATCTTACAGGGGAATCACAGGTACAATATGAATTTCTTGCTGATAGTAGAAATCCTGAAGTGAATATTTGCATGTTTTTCTGATATTCTGCTTTCAAAATGTGTGTTTTTACCACGTTGGCTATACACACATCGCCTCACATCTCCTTATCATATGGATATGTTAGAAAGAGACACTAGCACAGGACCAGATCTCCTGGGAGTCTTTCGGTCTGGATGGGCTCTGGGTGGAAATGATGCCTGCTTGGGAGGCAGGACAGGCATCCCAGGGAGGGAGGCTTCGAGCCTTTTCCACTCTGAAAATTCTTGTCAACACTGCTTTGGTGTTAGCTCCAAATCGTGTTTCTCACTCACAGAATGACGTCTGATGAGTTTATTACCCTTCTCAAAATCTTGTTTTGCGGCACTATTTCATGAAAAAGAATTTGACCAACATATTTTGTGCATTTTATTTCTGTGATCTTCAGTGATTCCTTGGGGTCAATAAGATCACATAAATGGAAATTTAAACCATGCTTTGGTTGATTTGGTGTGTGGAAGATTTCCGAAAGCGAGTGGCTACAGCAATAGCGCAGCTGTGCTGTGAGGAGTGCCAGGTCCTGGGAACAGCTGGGTTTGTTTACTAGAGACTCTCTCCTGCTACAGGACAAGCAATTACAAAAGTAGTAATAAATGTCACTGGAGCACAACAGAAACTATGGAGATGGAGACACTGAATGGTATTGGTTCCTTCTGTGCCCAGAGGCTTCAGTTTAGCCAAACCTAAGTGTTACAAGATTGAATCTGTTGTTTGACACCGTGATGCAGTCTGTCTTCCCTTCATTCCAAGTGTTCTATCCCAGCTGTTATCTGTCCTCTTAGGGTATTTAGCTTACCCTGTTATATCTTAATGACATAAATTAATCTTGCAGTTCCTATGCATCTCCCCCATAAGATTTATTTTTCCCAAGTGTTGTTAGACACAAGTGCAACTATCAACCTTACTTATTTAGGTTTTTTTCTCATGCCTGAGTTTGTGAGGAAGAGACAAAACTGAAAAAAAACCAAGAAGCAACATAAATATTAAATAAATAAAACTTATTTTAAAATAAATAGTACATTAAAAGTAGCCTCCTTTCTTTTCATATTGAATCCAGTCTTGGCTCATGAGTCTTGAAATTTCAGGACTGAAATGAATCGATTTTACTAGACAGTTATAACTGTTGGTAAAACTTACTCCCTTTTCTTATAGATTATTAAAATATATGGACTTATTAATTTTAGATGTGACATCTATAACTTCTCAGTCAAGGTAGTGCTAGTCAAATTCAGTGTTCTTTGAAAATGACACAAATGGTATGAGCACACCTTGAAAGGTTAGGCAATTCCATGGGTAAAGTAAACAAAGCTTCAGTTTGAACAAATGTGATCCCTAGGCTGTCATTAAACCTATTCTTAGGAACTGTGAGAGAGGAAAAGATAAACAGCATTCCATTTGACTTTGCTATTGTAATGTTTAATCTTCATGTAAAATGGCTTTTTATTTTGGAGAAATTTGATACAACAAAAACCCCATTCTGTATGAACCAGGAAAATTAAATTGAGTTTCTTTTATACCCTG